AATTTTATTGAATATTTGGCCATTGTTGATGGAATTCAGTATCCATTCTCTCTTCCCCAGAGGGTCTAGGGACTGATAATTCTAACCCTCTAATCATATGATGGTGTATTCTGGAGTCCAGGTGCACACAGATACTATCTAAGGTCTCATCCTTTACAGATTTCAGCACTTAAAGAAAGACAATAAATTCCAAGAGTTTCTGGAGTCCTGGGGCATGAACCAGGTCAAGGATCAAATATGGATCTTTTTACTATTCTAAAGTGGCATTTAGGAACAAGGTAGAGACTAGAAATTGACAGTCTCAGAAACGAAGCTCATGATTTTGTAAAATGATGTGGGATAATTTTATTAAAAGCAGACCACATGCTTTTTGAGAATCAAGAAGTGTCCCTGGAGTTCAACTGCTCACTTGCCAGAAGAAATCCAGAGAGGGCTGGCAGCATCCACCACACCCCTCTTCCTGCGCCTTCCATGCACTCACCCTCTTTCCCTCCAGTCTGCAGAGGAGAAGTGAGCTAGGACTTACTCTGGACCTGGTTGCTGGTTTCACTCCCTGAGATTCCAGCCACTAGCGTACCCTGGAGTATGAGCAGGACTGCAGAAAGGTCGATTCTGCTCATGTTTTTTTGCCTTGAAAGGGCATCTATGGAAAGGCGGATGCTGACAGATCTGTGTACACCCCAGCAGATGGGTAAGGACAGGCCAGAAGGAGTGGAGTGTGGAGATGGAGGATTTGGGGTCAGTCGTGTACAATGTGCAATCTCTCCACCTTCCATTGTCCTGCTTCTGCCTCTGTGTGTCTGTCTGCTCAGTCACTCAGTCTGTTCTGACTCTTTGAGGTTCCATGGACTGTAGCCCACCAGGCTCCTCTGTCCTGCTCGTGTCTGCTCAGGGCAAATAACCAGTGACTTCGGTCCTCAAACTTGACTCTGTGGTCATGAAAACACAGAATGTGATTCTACAAGTGGGATTTTGTCCAGTGTGCTCCTCAAGAAGCATCCCAGCACCTAGAGCACTGAATGGCACCTGAAGGATGGTCCATGGGTGGATGAGAGCAGATCAAGGACTGCTAGGTGATTAGCAGTGTGTTAGCCCAGGTCCTCCTTCACAGCCTCATTCGGGGGTCTTCAGTGCTCCCCCTCTCACATTAACCCCACTACTTCAGAAGACAGGTATGACACAGGTAATTTCCTACAACCATTGCGGCAGCATCTCTATAGGAACACATGAGCTCTTGACCTGGCAGTGGTCCAAAGAGATGTTGAGCCGGGGAAGAACATCTCCATCTGCGGCCTGATATTCTGGATAGAAATAAAGTAAAGAAAGTGAGCAAAAGGGAAGTAGAGACAAAAACATATCTCTAGAGCAAGACCACCCACTGCCCCTCACCTGGTTTCACCAACAGGAGATCTACCTGCCAGAGTGGACCTTGGGGGCTAGAGTGGATCTCAGGGACTTTGAAAGATTACCTACCACCCATCTACCCCCACCACAACTCTGGACTCTTCACTAGTGGTTTTTGGAACAGAGGAACTCAGTTTGAGTTTCAGTTCTGCCATTTCCTAGCTATGTGATCAGGGGCAGAAATTTACCCTCTTCTTCACTTGTAGCATGATATCATGTTGCTCACGTCATGAGGCTGTTCTGAGTCATTGGAGACCATAGACATATATTCTTCTCCCTGCAAACTCAAAGTCCTTTGAAATAATAATAATAATGAGTAATTATTGTGATTAACACTTAATGGCATTGACCAAAGAGTCACACAAAGACAATGGAGGGTTGCAAAAAGAGCTGGACCTGGGTGAGGTCAATCACTGAAGCAAGAGGGCTTTCAGCTAGCTCTGAGGAAGGACACCTAATTGGAATTGGGACTATGACTCCGCTCTGGCACTGCGCCAGTTACTTGAGGGGGAACTTCTAGAAGATGACACAACTACAGTCAAGGTTACTTGTTCCTTTCTTACTACAGTCAATAGCACATTTAAAGAGCAGTCGGGAGTGGAGGAATCTAATACCCGACGTGCTTCTAGACAATTTGTTTTGGTGTTCAATGCCATTAGTAGGGTAATCAACATGGATTTTAAAAGTATGCAAATCGGGTAGAGAGGGAGGTGGGAGGGGAGATCGGGATGGGGAACACATGTAAATCCAAGGCTGATTCATGTCAATGTATGACAAAAACCACTACAATATTGTAAAGTAATTAGCCTCCAACTAATAAAAATAAATGGAAAAAAAAGGTCAAAAAGATTTTTTTAAAAGTATGCAAATCTGGGAATTTCTTAATGTAGATATCACCATCTTCTTTCATTAAAACCATAAGTAAAATCTGTCTCAGGAAGATGAAATGATTTATCAAAGACCAGAAAATATAGTGAGTTACTGAAGCTAACCTTTTTCATTAATATCAAGTCATTTTCATTACACTGTTATCAACTAAAAGTTATTAAAAATTAGATAGCATATATTTATACTACTACTGGGACTTCCCTGGTGGCTCAGAGGATAAAGCGTCTGCCTTCAGTGCAGGAGACCTGGGTTCGATCCCTGGTCAGGGAAGATCCCCTGGAGAAGGAAATGGCAACCCACTCCAGTATTCTTGCCTGGAAAACCGCATGGATGGAAAAAGCCTGGTGGGCTACAGTCCATGGACTCACAAAGAGTCAGGCACGACTGAGTGACTTCACTTCATACTACTACTATCACTATTGCCACATCTGACCGTCATTAAATGGTTACTCCGGCAGTCTTGGACAAAGAATTTAACAAATACATCTCTTTCATTCTCATCAATACTCTATGAGATTGATAGAGAAAGAGAAAAGCAACCTCTGAGTTCTAAGACCTGACCTGGTACCACAATGGCCCTTATGTTCTTCCGCTCAAAATAAACATTTTACAAAGCTTCATTCTGGTTTGGTGAAAGACAAAAATAGGACATTGGATAATCATGTTTTAGCCCTGAACAAAGGAGCTATATTACACAAACTACCTATATGACCTAATACCTTCCTATCTTGAGTGACAGCTTTTCTTGAACAAGTACAGATCTAAACTTTATCTAGTCTTCCCTTCTTAGAGTTAAAATTAAGATACCAATCAGATAACCCTATATGCAAGACAACAAAAGAGACAAAGATGTATAGAACAGTCTTTTGGACTCCATGGGAGAAGGCGAGGGTGGGATGACTTGGGAGAATGGCATTGAAACATGTATATTATCATATGCGAAATGGATCACCAGTTGAGGTTTGATGCATGGGACAGGGTGCTCAGGGCTGGTGCGCTGGGATGACCCAGAGGGATGGGATAGGGAGGGAGGTGGGAGAGGGGGTCAGGATGGGGAACACATGTAAATCCATGGCTGATTCATGTGAATGTATGGCAAAAACCACTACAATATTGTAAAGTAATTAGCCTCCAACTAATAAAAATAAATGGAAAAAAATAATAAACAAAATAAAATATAAAATCAAAATAAACAAATAAATGAATGTTCTACATATTTTGCTCAAAAAAAAAAAAAAAGATACCCATCAGAGAACTACCCCACTTCCTAAACATCATCCTTCCAGAGCAAAGCCATCTTACTGATACCTTCCCCAAATTCAAATCACAGAAGCCCACATCTTGTAAGTTCCTTCGAACATTGTCTTAATATGACAGCATACTGTTTTCCAAGATGATTCTTGTTCTTTGCTGCTGTGAGTAGTAAATAAATCCAATGAGTTCAACTAGAAACAGGACTATTTCTAGTGGTCACTGGCTAGAAACATGAACAAGTACCAGCCTTATCCTTATTTTATAACTAAAGAACGCAAAGTTCAGAGATGTTGAGAATTTGCCTAAGACTGGAAAGATATAAAAAATAACACCAGCACCCTATGTTTTCTCATCTATTTAAGTAATATACTTGCTTCGGTCCCCATGGTAAACTTTACTCATTTGTAGTGACACAGATACTGTTTCCAAAGTTGCCTCCATTCTAAATCTTCCCAGAAACAGAACAGGAAAGCATCATCAAAGTCCTTCTGCTTGGGAAAGTGGGGACCTGCATGTTAGGAAATGAATACAGCAGCTAAGAGCCATCTCTATGACTGCATTTCCTCCCTTGAAGGATTCTTAGCATGATTAATAGAATAAGGCGAGCAAAATGCTTACACAGACTGGGACACTAAATGAGACTTGCCCTTCTTTACCAGAACTAAAAACCCCTCCCCACATGTGACATCAGAGAACAGGATTCCTTAGAAATTGGACAACTGAGCCCCAAGCCCTTTCTCCTTCTGAGAGTCCAAGAGAACAAGCTGGCCTTAAATTTGAACTGAACTGAGAAGTAAGAAATGAAGTTTTCATGTGCAAGTGTGTGCCTCCCAGGTTTCTGTGTAGCTTGGGGTGACTACTAAGATGATGATGCTATAATGGGTTTGCTTCCTATACCTGGTAGGGCGCAGTCTCTGGACAGGAAAAAGGGAGGTGCCCACTCCTCTGCAGAACAGTGAGAAGGATCACCATTTCCAGGGACTCTGCTAGTTAAGGTTTTTTTTTTCCATTTATTTTTATTAGTTGGAGGCTAATTACTTTACAATATTGTAGTGGGTTTTGTCATACATTGACATGAATCAGCCGTGGATTTACATGTATTCCCCATCCCGATCCCCCCTCCCATCTCCCTCTCCACCCGATCCCTCTGGGTCTTCCCAGTGCACCATCCCCTAGCACTTGTCTCATGCATCCAACGTAGGCTGGTGATCTGTTTCACCCTTGATAGTATACTTGTTTCAATGTTGTTCTCTCGAAACATCCCACCCTCGCCTTCTCCCACAGAGTCCAAAAGTCTGTTCTGTACATCTGTGTCTTTTTTTCTGTTTTGCACATACGGTTATCGTTACCATCTTTCTAAATTCCATATATATGTGTTAGTATACTTTGGTTAAGTTTTGTAGTTGCAAACAACAGACTCCACTTCAGTCAGTTTAACTTTTAATATTCATTTATTGAAATATAAGCCACAATGTTTGAAGCTACAGAAAGGAAAATCACAGCATCACTGTGGGGTCAAGAGGCTTCTTTATCCCAAACACTTCTCTCATTACTGACAATGAGAACTGAATGCTGGAAATTCCTCTTGGCCACCCAGAAGGAGAGCAGTGATTGTGGGGACAGGTTGAAGGTGAGGATGCCGTGAGGATGGAGGTAAAAACAAAAATCCTGTGTTACACCACAGCCTTGTACTTAATCTGGTCATGAGGAATGCGCGCTTACATTCCTTCCTTCTTTCCTCAAATAATTATAAGCTGTCTCGTTGGTGTCAGGAACTGTGTGAAGTGCCAGGGGCACACGGGAGACATCCTCTCATGGTCCTGAGAGCCAGCTGGATGAGACTTAGATGTGTTGACCAATAGCGGAAAGGAAATAGGCAGGTTCTGCTGAGGAGGGTAGGAGAGAGAAGTACTGTGAGAAGACTGAACTGTTTCGGAAGCAGCCACAGCCCAGCCCTGCAGGGGTCATCCTTGGCCTTCAGAGTTTCAGGGACCACTCTTCGCATGCCCTCTGCAAAAAGAAAGGAACTTATTGAGTGACATCATTGTGGCCCCAGACCTGGACACCGGTCATCTTGACAGAGCCTAGACTTTCCAAAAAATATGGAACTGTAGTGCTCATGACCCAAATGACCTACAAGAAGGAAGTGAGTTTTCCAAGCCTACGTGGGGCACTCAGGAGCACCACCTGTCCTGGAGGGTGACTGAATCATTGTTCCCAACTGAGAAAGAGGAGCATGTGATCAGGCTGAGAGGACCACAGAGAGGCATCAGGGGTTGACCTGCCATTCTCTCCCTGGAGAACTCGCTTAGTGTGGGTTTCAGAGGACACTGCACCTCTCCTCCTGGCAGCAGTGAGGAGGAGGACACTGTGCAGGGTGAATGGTGTGTGGCCCCCCGAGCCCCACCTCTCTGTCCAGCTCTTCCCCTGCTCCGGTGCCCTGCCCCCTGTTTTATCCCTGGGACTCTTCCAGTGTGCAGCAGGTCTTCATGCAGTCGGGACAGCAGGACTTTAAGCAGTCCTCTATCATGTTGAAGTTGTTTTTGTTCCCTTCACAGCCACTATAAACAAACGGCTCGCAGCACCCGGTCTTGGCACTGTAGAAGTACCTGGCTGTCTTGTTCTTGCAGGAACCAGCTAACTTAGGCTCCAGGCAGAAGGCAGGCTGAGAATCTGCTGGAATGAGAGGGGCAATGGCTCAGTTATAAGGATGGTCATCACTGCTCTGTAGAAGGCCAACAACTAGAACCTCCAATTTGTTTGGAATGGAGAATGTTAGGGTTGTGGGGGATGGTCAAATTGAAATGCGCATTTGAAAACCTCCTTTCCTTTCTGGGACAGAATTATGAAGGTGGCTAAGCATGATATGTTATAGTAATCATGTACAAATGTATATCTCCTCATGAAGTATTTTAAGAAAAATTGGTACAATGCCTTTGAATAGCCTTAAAACTTCTGAAAGACTTCCGAGGTGGTTCAGTGGTTAAGAATTCGCCTTCTAACGAAGGATTCATATCTTCAATCCCTTATAAAGAAATTAAAGTCCCAAATGCTGTAGGTACGGAGTCAACAGGCCATAACTACTGAGTCTGGGACCCACAAATAAGAACCAACCCACACAGACAAATACATAATTTATGTATTTGTATTTATGCTAAATTTATGCTAAAAAAGAAAAAAACCACCACAACAAAAAGAGGACATAGGTAAAAATTAATCCCTATATGTCAATAATTAATGGGCCTGGATAACAGAGTTTTATAAGATTATTAATCTTCTCTCTACTTAAGTGTGTGATAAAAACTTTTCACCATTAATAACAATGGTGAAGGAATCATGCTATAATGGGAAAAGGCACGAAGAAAACGTAACACTGTGTTTACTTCGGTTACCTCACAGGGATTCTATAAAATGAATATTGATACTAATGATATTGTGATTCTATGAAGAAATATATGTATTTCTTTTTTCACCATTTTCCTGACACTGTTTCTAAAAATCTTGGTATTTCTTATATGATGAGAACAGTAAAGGTGTCTTTTGGTATGTGAAGTTGGTGAGTTTGGAAATACTCTCATAAGCCCCATAATGGGCTCTGATATTGCACCAGAAAGGACTGCCTACAGGAGGGTGAAAACTTTCATTCCCACCCTTCCACACGGTCTTTCTTCCACAATCTCCTTGCCTTCCCTCAACCTCAAGGAGTTTAATGAAACTGTCTGTTGAACAATCCCCAATGGCTAATGATTTAATGCATCATGACTAGGTAATGAAGCCTCCATAGAAACCTCAACAGAGCAAGACATTCATGTTATTCGAGAGACCTGGGATCCACCCAGGGAACGTGGATACGGATACACACACGGATACACACCCCATGTAGACCACTGCAGCAGCCTGCTCACTGGGGCGCTGTCTCTGCTCCTTGCCCCCTAGAGGACACTCTGTGCACTGCAGCCTCAGGGATTCTGTTATTATTCATTCAGTCCTGTCCCACGGCTCCCTGGAGGCCAATTCCTCAGTAAGTCCCCTTTTCTCTGATAGTGAAATTCGGATTCTTAAAAGAGTCCTGCAGGGCTCCTCGCGATCTGCTCCCATGACCTCTATGCCTCATCCGTTTCCACTTCTTTCCCCTCACCTAAACCAACTCAGCTCCAGCCACCCTGGTCCTGGCTCCTGCTCAAACACAGCATTATTTATTATTAACGAGGAACCAGGCACATTACTTCTGCAGTTCTGCTCCGTACCTCCTTATCACAGAGGGTTTCCCTGACCCTTTAGAGAAAAAACACAGCATCCTTTCTCTGCTTCACTCTCTACCTTCAAGAAACTGATAGCCTACCGTAAGATTTCACCCTTTGCTATTTTTAAGTCTCCCTCATAGAAGGCAGTTTATTTTGCCATATGTTTTTGACAGCTGTGTCCCCAAGAACACTGCTTTGTAGGGACTTCCTAACTCGTATTTTCATTCTCTCCACAAGTGCAAGGTCATCAAATAGAATGGGTATAATTGAATTCCTTTTAGTACAAAATCACCTTGATGATGGGGCACATCAACACAAGGTCAAGCTCCCTCTAACATTCAATCTGCTGAGAGGATAATAAAATAATGTGTCCTGGTGATCTTTAACCCCGAAACCTCTGAACCTAAATACTTATGGATATTTATGGAAGTTTTCAATAAATAACCATATTGACTGAATTAGCCACTATTGCTGATTAATCATAAGTTTACAGCCTACACCTGAGGGTTCCTGGGTTGCTTTCCCTGAGTGCTCTCATGACCTAGCAAAGAAAGTAAATGCCAAGAGTTTCAGGAGACCTGGGCAATGAACCAGGACAAGGGTCAAATATGGATCAAATATGAATAATAAACTCATAGTCAAAAGAGAACAAGGGAAAGGGTCTGGAGACGATTCATATTGTCTCAGCCTTGATCCCATGAGCCAAACCATGCAAGCACTATGTTTCTTGAGCTCCTACAGTTGCTGCTCAGTGGTCCCAGGTCTTTCTGATTATTCTAATAATAAAGGAATAATCATTATTTGACACCTCAATGTGTTTTCTTGCTCAAAGGAAGTCAAAGGATAACGTTCTTCAGATTAACACATTGGTGGATAATGGACAAAACTGGTCATGAAATATGAATAAATTCTTTATATTCATGACTGGGAATCTGTTCAGAGAACCCATGTAACATGTTTCCTCTGTTCAGATGAGGAATGCAGATGACTTACCCCAGGACACAGAGCATGTGGGTGGTAGGGTCAGGACAAGTAACTATGATGTCACAACCCATCTGCTACAACACCTGATTCTACCAGGAATTCTAAAAATATAGTTTACTGATAAGGGTTTCCAGCTTCCCAGGTGACTCAGATGGTAGAGAACCTGCCTGCAATGCAGGAGACCCAGGTTTGATCCTGGGTTGGAAAGATCCCTTGGCAAAGGGCATGGCAACCACTGCAGTATTCAGGCAGAGGAGCCTGTGGCCTTCAGGTGGCAAAGAGTCAGACATAACTGTACAACTAACACTCCACTTTCACTGTAAGATTTTCTGGATGCAGTGTTCTACTTTAATTACTTCCCTGTCCCCAAATCTCGTCTAAGTGCCTAAATCACAGGAGAGAGTGAGCTCGTGTTTACCTTATCACCAAATATGTGGTGTCTCCACCAACATCAACCAGTTCCCCAGACACCCACTGGGCGTCCCCCAGTCAATTGATGTCTGATACGAAATCCGTGCAGTTAGTGCAGGTCCCACCCATTGAAGGATCATGACTGCCCTCACTTTAGTCCCAGCCACAGGGTCCCAACCAGCTTAGGCTTATGACCAAATGTCTAAAATGTAGAGGTCCAGAAAGTACAAACCTTTATTCTCTTCTTTGAATATATGTGTTGGGAACTCCTGTAGTGTATGGTTTTCAAGTTGCCTTAAGGAAAACATCTCCTCCCCTATGAAAAAGAGAAAATTTCAAGAGTTTCAGGAGGCCTGGTCCATGAAACAGGAAAAGGATCAACCATGGATAAGAAAATAAGGGTCAAAAAAGGACAAGGGAAAAGGCCTGAGACTTTAATAATGTTGTACCAGCCTTGGTCCCACAGCCTACCACACAAGGGCTGTTTCTTGCTTTTCTAGCAGTTGCTCTCCTCCATAGTTCAACATCTTTCAATTAGTTTTAATAATAGAGGAATAATCATTATTTGATAAAGAAATATTTTTACTTGGCCAAAGCAAGAAGGTAGAGAAATTTTTTTCAGATTAACACATCATGGTGGAAAATGGACAGATCTGGCCGTGACATATGAATAAACCGTTTCTATTCAAGACTCGTCATCTGTTCAAATAACTCATGGAACATTTTCCCCCTGTTTAGATGAGGAAACTACAGGTGGCTTGCCCCAGCACACAAGCATGTGAGTGGCCTGGTCAGGACAAGATACTGTCATGCCTCAACCCATTTGATACATTATTGATTCTGCTAGGAACTCAAAAATACAGATAACTGGTAAGAGTTTCTGGGTGCAGTGTCCTACTTTCACTACTCACTTCTCCCCAAGCCTCACCTGAGCCCTCAAATCACAGAGGACAGTGAGTTTGGGTTTTTCCCTGACACCAAATATGTTGTTTCTCCACCAACACCATCCAGTTCCCAACACCAACCGGGCAGCCCTCTGTCCATTGACTTTTGATCCCATGTCTGTGGAGTTAGTGCCAATGCCACAGGTTGAGGGATCCAGACTGTCCTGACTTCAGATGCCAGCCACGTGGTCTCAAGTCACTTGTGATTCTGACCAACTGACTAAAAGTGAGAGTTTCTATGACCCCACTTCCATGCACAATACCTCGATCGAACCAGTGAACAAACTCAGAAAAATTTCTACTCACTGTTCTCAGATTAATATATAGGGTTAAATCTGAGAAAAAGTGAAATGGAGGAGATGTTTAGGGCAAAGTGGGAGTGAAGGTGAGAGGCGCCTCCGTGCCCTGGTGAGCATAGCACCCTCACCTCAGCACAATTTATTCCCACCTCATAAGCTCTGTGAGCCAATATTTATGGACTTTTATTGAAGTTTCACTCAATAGGGATATTTATTGAATCCTCGATCAGTAGTAACTGATTTCAGTTTCGGTGCCATCCCCTCTCCCCACAGGTGCAGAAAGTTCAAACCTTCAAGGCATTTTTTGAATGTTTCAGCTGCTTTTCTTATCATCTTGCATGCCTTGCAGATAATTTTGGTACTTATGAAAGAAAAAAATTCAAAAATTTACAGGAGTCTTGGACTGTAAACCAAGATGAGGTTCAAATATGGATAATAAATTGATGCCAAAAGTGGACAAGGGAAGAGGCCTGGAGACTGCTAATATTGTATCAGCTTTGGTTCCTTGAGCCAGCCACACAAGGGCTGTGTTTCATGCATTCCTTGCAGTTGCTCTAAGTGGTCCCAGGTCTTTCTAATTAATTTTTATTGGACAAGGATAATCATTGCGGTGCACAAAAGTTCTTTCTCATTCCAAGCAAGTAGATAGAGAAATCTTTTCAAATGAACATATCCTGGTGGAAATTGACCAAAATTGGCCATGAAATGTGAATAAACTCTTTATATCTGTGGCTGGCAGTATGTTCAAAGAAATCAAGTGGCACATATCTTCTGTTCAGAAGAGGAAGCTGTAGATGACTTGCCACAGGACACATGGCATGTGGGTGGCAGGGTCAGGACAAGATACTTCCCTGTTACAACCCATTTGTTACACTACCCTATTCTGCCAGTAACTCTGAAAATACCAATAACTGCTGAGAGCTTCTGGGTTCAGTGTCCCACGTTCATTACTCACCTGTCCCCAGGACTCACCTGAGATCCCAAAGCACAGGGAGAGTGAGTCTACATTTCCCTGACACCAAATATGTGGCATCTCTAGAAACAATATCCAATTCCCCAAACACCCACTAAGTGTCCAGCAAGTCAATTTACTTCTGACATGACATTGAGGGAGTTGGTACCGACTCTGCAAGTTGAAGGCTAAATCTGTCCTCAGTTCAGATGCCAGCCATGTTGTCCTGAGTCATTCATGATTTGACAAAGTGGCTAAAACTGGGAAGTTCCAGTTATTGAACCTCCATGTTCAATAACTCAATAGCTCTGATGACCAACTCAGGATAACCGCTTACATGCTGATCTCACATTGTTATTGTTAAGGATAAATCTAAGGACAGTGGAGTAAGTGAGATGTGCAGGGCAAAGTGGAAATGGATGTATGGGGAGCCTTCAAGCCCTAAAGAGCACAGGGCCCTCATATCACCATCACGTGTTACCACCCCAAAATCTCTCAGAATGCCTGTATCTATGGATTTTTATTGCAGCTTCACTAAACAGACATATTGATTGAATCATTGTCTAGTAGTGGCTGTTCTCAGTCTCAGTGCCCTCTTTTCTCCCAAGAGATTCAGAAAATTCAAACCTATAATCACATCGTCAATGACTTCTTTAATCACAGACGATACTACAAGCTTCTCAGGTCCCCTTATAAGGCTTGTCTCCAGACCTGTGAAAGAAAGTAAATTCCAAGATTTTCCAGAGATGTGGGATGTGAACTAAGACAAGGATCAAATATGGATCATAAAATAGTAGTCAACAGTGGACAAGGGAGGAGACACATAAGAATAATAAAATAATAGTCAAAAGGGGACAAGGGGAAGGGCCTGGAGACTTCACTAACATTGCATCAACCTTGGTCCAAGGAGCCAATCCACACAGGGCTGTGATTCATTCTTTCCCTGCAGTGGCTCTGCTCATTCATCCCAGGTGTTTCTGGTTATTTTTTATAATAGAAGAATAAAAATTATTTGATACCTAAATATTCTTTCTTGCCAAAAACAAGTAGGTAGAGAAATTGTTTTCAGATTAACACATCTTGTTGGAAAATGCACTAAATTCACCATGATATCTGATTCATCTCCCTTATATATATATATGACTGGTAATCTGTTCAAAAGCCCATGCAACATTATCTCCTGTTCCAATGAGAAAAATGCAGATGACCCGCCCCAAGCATGTGGGTGGTAGGGCCAGGACAAGATACTAGCATGTTACAACTCATCTGATACACTCCCTGATTCTCCCAGGAACTCTGAAAATACAGATGGTTGAGAACAGTTTCTGGTTGCAATATGCACTTTCATTTCTACCTTTTTCTGGAGCATCACCTGAGCCCCAAATCACAGGGGACAGTGAGTCTAGGTGTGTCTAGGTTTCCCTGACAGCAAATATGTGG